TTCCAGTAAAGCCAATCGACAGCTGGTCAAGAGGAATCCGTCGCTGGTCGTCTTCTGGTGGAACCGACCTTCGAATCTCTTTACCCACCACTTTCACTCGAGATGGATGTAAACTCAACAATTATGAAACAAGAGATTGCTCGAAACCAAACTTTTCTTCGTATAAGATGAATCAGCCGCCATCTTCTGGTGGAAGCGACTTTCGAATCTATTCACGCAACACTTTCACTCGAAATGGAAGTAAGCTCAACAATAATGAAAGAAGAGATTCCTTGAAACCCAACTTTTCTTCGTATGTAACAAGGGTGCATTTGCCACGACGTCCGACGATAGTAACCAATTTAGGCACGAGCGTGTCTCCGAGCCACAGCATGCCAACATTCAACCCCCCCGCCTGCCCACCGATCAAAGCGCATAGGTTCTGATTGCCATGCTTGCAGATCTCAGGCATTCCCTTTACGAGTTGTCGCCCTCCTTAAACCCATGTTACCTGAGCAAACTGTGCACGCCTATCTCTGGTCGGAAGCGGCATCTAAAGTGAATTTCTGTTACATTTGGTCATAACAACGAATTTCCGTGACGTTATGCTTATCCTTCCACACAGCTCCCTGACTGCCAGACCCTCAAAGTTGTACTGGTTTATTCGAAACGGACATCACGCACTGACAACGGCTTCGCTTGATTGCCCAAAACCTCTACCCCCCACTTTGTTCATCGCGATCCCTTTTCCTCCGGTTAGCGGCAGATCCTTGATCCAGGCATCTCCCTTTTTGCTGGTCTTGCTCTGTTCTTGTCTTTCCCGAGTTTGCTTAGGCGGTAGGCAAAGTTATCGCTAACTTTACCTTCCTCCAATCTCCTCCTATTCTATTCTATTTTTGTTCTATTCTATTCTATTCTATTTTATTCTATCCTATTCTATCCTATTCTATTCTGTTCTATTCTATTTTATTTTATTCTATTCTAATCTATTCTGTTCTATTCTATTATATTTTTGTTTTATTCTATTCTATTCTATTCTAATCTATTCTATTTTATTATATTCCCCAACGATGTCAATGGCCTCCCTAATCTTCCGCTTCCTCGGGTTTTCACCATATCATAACCTGCTTTCTGTTTCCTTCCAATTGATCTCGTGTCCAATCTGTGCGATGTGTTCCGCTAATTCTGATCTTTCGTTATCCCTTTTCCTGAAGAGCCTCTAATGCTCCTTGATTTGTATGACTAATTTTTGTTCTAGTTCCGCCAATTTATTTCTGTTCGCAGACGCCGCAAGATAAACAATACATTTTTAAACAATCCAATTTGTCTACCCTTTCATGTTCCGTCGGTAGACTTGTGAAAAGTGTAGATTTCTCTTTCATGGCCACTCGAATATTCCATTTCCTCAATATTGGCCGCAGTTGTTGAGTTAGCTCGCAGGAAGGTAGGCATATCCACTTTTGTGAATCCTTCAACGTCCTTTCATACCTTTCATAGTTCCCGTTCTGCCATCGCCATTTCACGCCTCGTATGTTTCTTTGTTCTACTTCGCTTGGGTAGCCGTTGTCGAGGTCACATGACTTGCCGTGATATTCAAAACCCTGTAAACGAATGAGCAATTAGTCCTTCAGCCAGACAAAGGAGGAACTACATTGATATTGGACAAAAAACAATACACCGAAAAGATGGAACATATCCTACAAGACAGGACCACATATCGTATATTAAACAAGGACCCAACTATGAAGATCAAAAGAATCTTATGTGACATGCTGAAAGCTATGCATAGGAATGGGGAAATTGAAGCATGGACAAGAAATTGAATCATAAGAAAGGATGCACGACCACCAACAGCTTACGGACTATCGAAGATACACAATGAAGAAGAGCCACTAGGGCTGATGGTCAACAACAAGAATGGAGCAACACACAAATGGGCAACATTTATAAATTTGAAACTCGTGATGAAGAAAGTGGGGGGAAATTGATTTCGGCAACAAAGCGAAGACGTCGTCAGCGGGTGATGTCCATTTCGAATAAACTCGTACAACTTTGGGGTTCTGGCAGTCGGCGAGCTGAGCGGACGCATGAGCAAACCGTCACGGAAATTCGGCGTTATGGCCAAAATGTACCAGAAATCCACTTGAGACGCCGCATGCGACCAGACATAGGCGTCCACAATTTGCTCAGATAACACGGGCAATAGAAGTGGGTTGACCTCTTTGTCGCAACTTGGTCTTGTTGTCACGGCGACTATGTAGAACGCACCTAGTCCGAAGTCGTCTACCATATTAGTTGTCATGATTCCCAGCATCAGACAGTCGACTTGGTACATTCTCAAACGTTTCGTTGGCATAATCAGTGAGTTTTGCCATTCTCTGATACTGGGAATCGTGACAACTACTCTGGCAGACGACTTTAGACTAGGTGCGTTCCACTAAGTTGCCCTGACAACAAGACCAAGTTGCGACAACGAGGTCAACCCAATTCTATACATCGAAAGGAGACTGCGACCATAACAGAGGCCACAACATCTTGGCCTTGGTATCTTCATTTAAACGCTCTGCTCAGTGAGTCGGCTGTGAAAGTGCTTCTAGGACCTTGCGAAATAGCGCCTGTTGTCAACCAGAAAGCCAAAAAACGGATCTACGAGGCAATGAGCAGATCGGGATTGGAGGCCCGAGTCGGAATAGCCGATCGAAAGAGGATCGAAAAGAACAGCAAAGGCTTTGCAGGAAAAAGGATACCGAAATATCACACGAAGGCTATGGAAACAAATTAAATACAATTAAAGTAGCAGTTTCCAAGGTTATGGGCATATATGCACTACGCCGGAGCTGAGGCATGACAAATCCACTTGTTACCTTTTTCCAGCAAAATCAGTAAATCTTTTTCAGCAGGTCGGCTCAAAAGTGAACCATGAGTGAATTGACTAAAAGTTATTAACTACAAACTCATGCTGCTTAATTTTTATCTTTTTAATTTGCATAATGAAAACAATTTTTCCGACCACGGCATAATAAATAATGGAGGTGTGTAAAATCATAAATATTGTTATTAAAATTGTATGAATAAGAGCTGCAATTTGCATTTGTGAATTGAATAATGTTTCAGAATATTGTCTCACAAAAACCTTGAATAATGACGGTTCATATTCCGAGGCTTTTAGAATTAAAAAGCTGCCGATTACAAACTTTCCAAACTTGGTGTAATCAACAATTTTCCAATGCCATTATAGTCACCATTTCTGAGAAATTCAGCGTATGCTATTCCATTATTCTTGGAATGAATATAATTGGAGTGAGTCTTTAGGGCATTCATGCAGAAGCATGACGATAATATATTCAGTAAATCGCTGTTCATCCCGATGCTCATTTGAAGGTAAACTTATTTGGCCGAAAGGTGTGCGATGGTGGCATTCAATGATTTACCGTCCTAGAGGCTGGAGGATAGGTTCACCCTGAAAAGTCACCTTCATACACGAGTTCAGCTGCTACCTTTCCCGAAATGGGCATCGCTTGAGAAGAAGGTCGACGTGTGAACACACCGTCACAGCATCAACACGTCACGAGGGATGGTTTAGTGTTTGAGTGACGTATATGCGTGTGTGTGTGTGTGAGTGTGTGTATGTGAGGTTGGTGTAAAGTAAGTCATATTGTAAATCAACTGCCCGTCGACAACGTTACGCAACAACTCAAGTCTAAGTAATGCGCCTAACAGCGGAAACCTCTAAAATTGTCGCGGCCAATTAAAAGAGTAGTTTAAAAGTAGTATGCTTTATTTAAATTAATAATTGTCTAGTCTACAAAAATTGCAACTGATACAAGCATGGAATGCTACTTGCAAGTTGAGATGATTGACAAAGTGAACCGACTGGCGCATTCTGACTCGAGAGAATGCAACGCTTTAGGGCGCCATAACAACAAATTGAGGAGGATATCTGCGTCTGCTTTCTGCAGGAAAGTGGCGCTTGGATCGCTTGGCGTTCAGAGTTCCAGTAGTTGATGGGGTCGTCAGAAGCCAGTCTTTCCAGCGGAATTCCACCGCAACATGTAGCCAAGTGTGGGTCCCCTGCCAGGCTGAAATCGGGCCTGCATGGTCGGTTGGTCTCGGCACAAGCCCGTGTCGGACTCCGGTTCGAGGCCGGCACATAAACCTGGCCCGAAGAGGCGGAAAGGGGGCTGAGGAGAAGACAAAGGTTTATGGTATCCTCGAGTCCGGACAAGGGTTATCCGTGATCCCATCTCGGCTGTTTGTGGTCACATTTCAAAACCATTCGACCCCGGGACCAGTCCAGATTCAGTCGAACGTTTGCAATTCGACCAACTTGTCCAAAATGCTCACTCATTTTGTCAACTCGACAGTACAGCTTTTAATCGTGTTCTCTTTGGGCGACCGAGAATGTCCGTCTGCGACTGGACTTGGATTCGGCCTGCAAGGCTTGTGCGTGTAAAGGAGAAAGTCCGAGCCCGAGCAATCGGGACGACAAAGCAGAAGAGGAGAATGTTGAAAAGTTGTCGCTTCCTCATTCATTTCATTTGCATACGTTTTTCCGCGTTTCACTTTGTCGCGCTACACACGGTCCACTTTCA